CTTATAGTGCTCGTGCGCATTTAGGTTGATCCGCTTCCGAGTGTGTATACTGCTGTAACAGGGAAGCCAAACTTTGTTCACGTACAGGCATCATCATCGGCCTATCTCGCACTTCGATTGCCTCGTTTTCTTTTTATATGAGAAGGGGCAAACGAGCGACGGGAACACAAAGGTTCGTTTAACTAGTACTTACGGTATCTAATCGCTCAACGACGCGATGTGGAGCCGTTTGGCGGTTTAACTATTATTCAAGTTTTGTTATTTTTTGTTGTTGTTATGTTTTGTAAAGCCTTCATTCGAGGCAAATTCGCACTCGCCAGGAATCCTTATCTGGCGAGTGCGAATTGCGAGTCGCGGCGACCGGCTAGCTGTGCTAAACGCTTGCTCATCGCGAGACGGACGCAATGTTTGTACGTCGCCAAATAGTATGCGCGGAAACGTTATCACGCCGCCGCCGTCGTATGAATTACAGCTTAATGATGTTTGTCGACGACGCGTCGCCGCCGCTGAGGCGCTCGGCGGCGCTCGGCGGCCAGCGCAGTCGCAGCGCGCGGCGCCTCACAACATGGTGCTCGAGCGAGAGCCCGTTGCCCTCACTGCAACAAGTAAGTCACTTTAATTATATTTCAATGGTCGAAGGTTGTGACGCGATGCCGCTGAGGCCGCACAAAGACACCCACCGACATCCTTAAAATTTACCGATATCTAGCATTGTATTTAAATAACTCAAAACGAAAGGGTTAAAGTTGTGTCTAGTCCATTTTGTAAATCCACCCCACGTCGGGAAACACCGGTGTACACATTCCGCGCTGAGTGTACGCACTCAAATGTAGTGTAAATTATAATAAACTCAATCTGTTTTTATAATAAAACTAAACAGTGTCACAAAATAAAATTTTAAATAAGATTTAGTGGCAATTAATTATATTGACATGTGGTTTTGAGGATTAGCGTTAGTGAGGATCATGTGAAAATAGTCTCAAGTGAAGTGTTAACTATGCTTACTCTATGTATTTTATGAATCTCGGTGCGACCTGCTGTTGTTTTCACGGCAGTGGAATCGCAGCCCACGAGCGGGTGGCGCGGGGGGCGCGGGGGCACGCCTAATCGTTGTCTAAATATTATTTTGTTTGCGCGTATGTTTGTATATCTACCACAGTGAGGCTCTTGTGTCTAATTCACTGGCATACAGAGGTTTTGTTTTGAGTAATTATATTTCTTATGAATGGTTTCAAATATTGGTGGCTATATTTGTGTATTTATTTAAATTGTGTTTTTGTAAAAAAATCAATAATATAAAATAAAAAACTGGGTTTAATAGACAATGTTATACCCCTCAAATTAAAAATAATAATATTTATAAACAATTCTATTAATTAAACATTACATAAATAACATTTACGAGATTCGTTTAATTTTACAGGAATTGATTCTCGAGATTCAAAAGGGGGTTTCTACGAAGATTCCGAGGTAGAAGAGGAGGGTGTGTGCGCGGTGTGTCCGGGGGGCGCGCGGTGCGCGGGGCGGTCGCGCGATGCGGGG